TTTAATTATTAAAGACATTTTTATATAAAAAAAGAACGTTAAACATAAAAATGTCTTTAATAAATAAATAAATTGTCGGACTTTGTATAATTTTTTTTAATATTTTGACGTCATTTGTTTACATTTGATACGCCATGAGCAGTTATGAATGTACGAGATTCATGGAAGATTGAAGTTTATAAGAAAATTCGACGTTGCCTACCGAGTAGTTAAGGCACGTCAGCGTAAATAAACGGTTCCCTATAGGATGCAGGTTCGAATCCTGTAAAAAGGACGAATATTTTCTATGAAAATTTCTCGGACATTCAGGCCAGTAAATGTTATTTAATACTGTTTATTATAAACAGAGCATTTACTTAAATACTTGTATCTATAAAAAAAAGAACGTTAAACATATATATGAATATATATATATATATATATATATATATATAACTTCATACTTACACACACACACACACACACATATATATATGTGTATATATATATATATACATATATATATATAAAAACTTCGGTTAACACACACACATACACACACACATATATATATATCTGTATATATATACACACACACATATATATATATATACACATATATATGTGTGTGTGTTAAGTATAAAGTTACATATGCAGTGTAACCCGGATATAAGTGAGTTGTCGGGAACGGAGAAGAAGTCTCTTATATCCGGGTTTCTCTTATATCGGATTTGGTCTATTTATATACATTAACACAGGCTCTAATTTGGGACCAGAAAATCTCTCTTATATGGTTTCTCATATATCCGGGTCTCTTATATCAAGGTTCACTATATATATAATATATATATATATATATATATATATATATATATATATATATATATGTATATATATATATATATATATATATATATATATATATATATATATATATATAAGACTTAAACAACACAAATAAAAACAAACATATATATGTGTGTATATATATATACACACACACATATATATATATATATATACACATGTAATGTGTGTGTGTGACAGTGTGAAGAAGAGATTTACATATATATGAAATATATAGAAAAGAGTACACACACACACACACACACACATATATATATATATATATTATATATATATATATATATATATATGAAGACAGTATATGTGTGTGTGTGAGTAAAAAGTAAGTATGAATTGTCATAATATATATGTAATATATTAGTGAACACACACACACACACACACACATATATATATATATATATATATATCTATATATATATATATATATATATATATATTAAGTAGTATTAGAATGACTACATTCATAAAGGATTCGAGTCGTCTCAGGTGAAGGGGATGACACAGCAGCTGGAATTGACACAAAATTTCTCTGACGATTATCTCTGGGGTAAAAGATAGAAAGGAAAAATACAAAATACATCTCTCAACGTCTGACCACGCACATGACAGTCTTTTGTATTTTCCTCTCTCCTTATCTCTCTGTCTCACTCCATCACAATCGATCATGTTTTCTTTTCTATATACTTTCTGTCTTTCTGTCTATCTTTCTTGCTTTCATGAACGAAAACACATACACACACCTATACATATGTGGTAATCTCTTCCTGTTTTTGTTTTTTTTAAATTGCTTTGCCGCTTTCGAAGATACTATTCTCTAAAGGACTAATGCAAAATTCAGACAAGGTTTTCTTAAATATAATAATAACACACACGCAAATGTATATATATATAGTAGAAGCCCTGTTTATAATAAGCATTATTAACATCATTTACCCGAGAAATTTCATAGAAAATATGTGTCCTTCGACAGGAATCGGGCTTTTATCCCACACAGAACTGTCGTGCTATAGCATTTAGCTACAGAGGAACCGTGTGGTCAGCATGGTCGAATTACGGCTTTTAAACTACAAATTTCCAATGATTTCTCTCAAACGCTCATATCTGCTCAAAGCGGATCTTAACGTAAACAAATTACATCATATATTATGAAATGGACTAAGTCCGACAATTATTTTAATATATTTATTGTTATGTAGTGTAAGTCCTCCTATATGGCAGTGAATACTGGACGATTTCTTCACAGATGAAAAAGAGACTTGAAGCAAGAGAAACAATGAAAAGAATACTGAACTGTTATGCAATATCAGTCTTCCTATATGGCAGTGAATGTTGGACAATCTCCTCACAGATGAAGAAGAGACTTGAAGCAACAGAAAAAAGGAAAATTATTCAAGCTGATATGTAATATCAGCCCAAGTATATGGCAGTGAATGCTGGACAATTTCTTCACAGATGAAAAAGAGATTTGAAGCTTGAAGCAACAGAAACAAAGAAAAGAATACTGAACTGTTATGTAATATCAGTCTTCCTATATGGCAGTTAATGCTGGACAATCTCTTCACAGATGAAGAAGAGACTTGAAGCAATAGAAACAATGAAAAGAGTACTGAACTGTTATGTAATATCAGTCTTCCTATATGGCAGTGAATGT